CCTGGGCCCCGCCGATGAGCCCCCCGACGGGGACAGCCTGGGCAAGCCCGGCAGGGCACCCCTCGGGGCAGAGCTCTCTGTCGCAGCTGGCGTGGCAGAGGGGCAGATGGAGAACATCTTGCAAGAGGCCACTAAAGATGATGTCGGTCTGGAGGAGCACTTAAGAGGTAGCCTGGAGGCAGTAGGTAAAGGGGATGAGATGGCCCTGGATAAGGAGAAGAGAACTGAGAATCTGCGTGGGTATGTCAGCGACCTCTGTGAAAAGGCTGAGGCAGATAAAGGTATTGTGGTGAACAATCCAGCATCCAATCCACATGCAGTTCCACAAGGTGCTTCTGAGCTTAAAGGACAAGAGGACGAGCAGGCTGATCTCAGTAACGCTGTCCAGAAGTTACCTCAGGTGAAAGGACTCCAGACTGTTGTTCCTTTGGAGGGATTAGTAAGTAGAGACGCTCAAAAGAACGTGGAGGAAGAAGGTGTTGACAAACTTGAAGGAGAAGCAGAGAGCCTGTACAGTATGGAGCAGGGCAGCCTTCCGTTACCTCTTACAACCCCACACGAGGCAAGAATTTCCAACGTTGACAGTTCTACAGAAACCTTAATGGAGAATGAAGCAAAGCAGGAGCTCCTTCCTAAGGGTCCTTGCCACAGACCTCACCCTCTCAACAACAGTGCTGATGAACTTTCTCGAATGACTGAGAACAGGCCAGAGGAGGGGGAGAGCCTGACAGAACTGCAAAAACTGGGAACAAAAGCACATAGGACTTCTGGTAGCAGCACCACACACATCCCGATGCCTTCCCCTTGTGCCTTGCCTTTAGCTGAATGTAAAGATGAGATTGTGTGTAACGGAGAGCTGGAGCCTGAGAACAAGATGACGGAGAAGCCCGCGGGGTTCAGCCTCCCCCAGAAATACCAGGGGACAAATGGACACTGCGTGAACGGGGAGGAGGGGCGGCTCAAAGCCTCCCTGAGCCGGCAGGTCTCGGCGGCCAGCTGCAGTTCCGCGCAGCTCCACTTGAGGAACCTGCACCAGAAATGGCTCTTCAGTCACCTGGGTAAGCAGCAGGCGGCCAGCAGCCCGGACCAGCCTGCCAGGAGTCACCTGGACGACGACGGGATGCCCGTCTACACCGACGTCATCCAGCAGCGCCTGCGCCAGATAGAGACTGGCCACCAGCAGGAGGTGGAGACCCTGAAGAAGCAAGTGCAGGAGCTGAAGAGCCGGTTGGAGAGCCAGTTCCTGAACAGCTCCTTGCGCCTCAACGGCGACTATGGAGACGAAGTGGTAAGTGAGCTTGTCCCTGGGCCACTGCTGGAAGCGGTGGGATAGGTGGTCACGTGCCGGATCTCGCCACGTTTTGGTTCGTTGCTCAGGTAGTGATTTTTGTGGCCGTGCAAGCTTTCCATGGAACTCCCAAGGTCATTCTGAAGAGGGCAGACAACTGACTGAGGACCTGGCAAATGGCAATTAGTGATGACTGATATTCTCACTGTACGAGTTTGACCTCAAATGTACCAAAGGTCCGTTTCAAGACGGGTGTTCAGAGCGTTCTGGCACATCCCTGGACATTCTCAAACACCTTCATTGGCCTTATGGAAAAAAAACCACACAAAACGTTTGTTTTACTCTTGTTTTCACATGGGTGAAGATATTTTCCTAAGGATGTGAATGTGTGGCTGCTCGGTTAGCTCCAAGCCATCAAGTCCAAGCCACCCCCTTTTCAGATGACTGGTCTGCCCCAGGCTCAGGAACTGGAGTAAATTCAGAGCTTCTGTAACATTCTTATGCCAATTAGTTTTTTTCTTGATAAACTAAGAATTTTAAGGGAGCTTTTAAGCTGTGCTTCTACTGGGAAGTTTAAAGTTGTAGAAGTAGAGATCTAAGTCTGAGGCACGACTCCAGTACAGTGCATTGATTTCTGTAGCAATTGAACAATCTGTGTAGTTGGGTTGCAGAAGAGATGAAAAATCAGAAATTAAATAAGTGTAATTCCACCTTCAAGCTTTCTGTGTGTCTTGGGTAGGTTTTTAAAGTTGCCTCTCCTACCTGTTTTTATCTAATTTCTCCCCCTCTTTTGACTAATAAATAATAAAAAGTCAAAAGAAATATAATCACTAGCCTTATACCACTGCTTGAGGGCAACACTGATGGTGAGGATGAGCAGGAGTTCTGCTCTGCAGAGACCTTCAAGCACAGAGCAGTTCTGCCCATCTCTGCAAAATTCAGGTTTTCAGTGCCCTAGTGTTATTAGCTAAGTAAAATAAATGTAAAGGAGAGAACTGCTTGGGGAAGCAGGCAGGCATGGGAGGAGGAAAGGGGCACGAAGGGGTGAGTGAGGAGACTTCCAAACTCTGCAGCAGTTTGGACCTTCCTGTGGCTTTGAATGCTGGGCAGAGCACTGGCCTCTAATTCCTGAGCTTGACCTAACACCCATCAAACAGCTCCTTTTCCTACGTGCACGTCGTAATGTGATTTATATGCCTGCAAAATGGGGAAAACAAATACAGGAAGCTTCCAAGTTTTGTTTAATTGGATATTGTTTTGAAGTGGCAGAGGTGCTGGATAGTCCCAGGTACATTTGGTGTGAAAAACTCCCTCAGAGCCCTCTTGGCTGTTCAGCTGGAGATAACAGCACTCAGTGCTCCTTCAGGCACCCCGTTCAGTGTTGTTTCCATTGGGTGTCACTGGCCAAAGCTGGGATTTTGGGGAGAAGGTTGATGCCTTGCCTTAGTTGATTATACTCCCATTTTTTAAGGGTCTTTGGAAACTGCAGAGTGGGGCTGGGTGTGAGCATGCTGTCCTCTAGAAAATTCACCAGCTTTAAGAACCCAAACTCTACCTTCTGCTTGTGCCTCAGTGTGGGAGTAGCAGGTTTTCTTCTGGAGCTCCAGAGATGCCCATTCCTCAGGCACAAAAAGACGTTAACTCAAGATTTCTTGCTATTTTTAGTGTCTTTTAAGGGCTGGTTGAGTTTTAAGTCAGTTAAAATACAAGTCTACCTGGATAAACTGTGTTAAGAAAGGATTATTCCCAAAAAAACTCAAATTCTGAGTTGCCCTTGTGTGATTTGGCTTGTATTTTACAGAACTTTTGCTGACAAAAGGCTGCATGTGTTACTAGCATTAATTTTGAAGATGAAACAGCCCTGGAAAGCAAATGCAGCCATGGCATGGGAGCCACAGAGAGCAGCTCTTGTGGTTCATCACCCAAAGTGTTGCCAGAACTTAGGGCTAACGCAGCAGAAACCAGATTTTAAAATCCATTCTACCTCTCATCATCCTGTCATCAGAATGTCAAAAGCTGACCTGCCGGGGGGTTTTTTTGCCTTTTTAAAAATTCTTTCTTGCAGTCCAGCACTGCACAAACCTCCTCAGCATGCAGCATTTCCCATCCCCTTCAAAGAGGCACTGGGGTCCTCGCTGCCACGTGTGTGCTGCTGGGAGGTGACTGGTTGTGACACTCAGCCTTCCAGGGAAGCTGCTCTTCCTCAGCAGGAGGTGCCCTTTCCACTCCTCCCCACCACCATCCAGCTTTTATTTGTATGGGAGCAGGAATATGGGAAGGTTCTGTTCAGCTGTGTTTGTTTGCCAACAGACTTCTATACCCGACTCGGAAAGCAATCTGGATCAGAACTGCTTGTCTCGCTGCAGCACAGAGATTTTCTCTGAAGCCAGCTGGGAGCAGGTGGATAAACAGGACACAGAGGTACAGACTAAAGCCCTGTAAATTGCTCATTCTTCTGGTAGGATGGGGATGCTCCTGAGTCAAAATTATCCTACAGCCTTGGGTCACCTTGCCACTTCTTGTGAACTATCTTCCTTGCGTTCCACTTGTGTCTCACACTTGAAATCTCAGTACCTGTGCCTATGAGCCCTCTGCTTGTCTGTGTGAACTCTGAGGAGCTGTGGAAGGGATGCTTAGCTAAAGGAGCCTTTGGTGGACGTGTGCTTGGGGAATGTTCTTGGCTTGGATACTTCTAAAGCACAGGGAATTGGACTTTCTGACTTAATTTCTCTTTGAGTGGAATTCAGTGTGTCTATTCTCAAAGGAAAGGTTTCTGTTGCCTGTCTCCAGTTATTGCAAACACTGAATTTATGCTCTTAAAACAGACCAAGCACTTTCCTCATGGTGCTTTGCTTGGAATTTGTAAGCCCAGATGAGGCAGGTTGGTTAGTTTCCAGTTAATGCTCTCCCTTGATAGATTTTTCCTCTCTCCCCCACAGGTGACACGGTGGCTCCCAGACCACCTGGCCGCCCACTGCTATGGCTGTGACAGCACCTTCTGGCTGGCCAGCAGGAAGCACCACTGCAGGTAACCTCTGTGGCCACCCCGGGGGCAGGGCAGGGAGCCAGGGGCTGTTCCCTCTGCTCTTCAGACACGTCAGTCCTTTCTCAGGGATGGTCAGTCTGAGTGCTTTAGAGTAGGACTATGCTCGCTCCTCAAGGAACCGAGTGCTCTGGGAGGAGTTCTCCTGTCCAGTTCCTGCAGAGGATCTATTAAAAAAAGCCAGATTTGGTCCCTGCGCTTCCCCAGATCCCACCTTTTTTCCTCAGACTGGTTTTGGAGGCAGCTGGCTGTTTAGCTTTTTAAGAAGGTGTAAATAATAAGTAGTACTGGTTTGTCTTCTTAGCATTCGGTGCTTTGATACTGCGAATACAAATACAGGAACAGCATCTTCTTCTCACTGCTGGTTGTAAACCTGCTCCTTTCCTTCTCTAACCATTCTCCCTTTTCATTACATTTCTCTTGTAAGAGAAACCACAAAGGACACCCACGTGAAATAAGTTTTCTGGACTATTCTTCACCAAACGTGCTGCCCATGGAGGCTGTGGCAGATAGGAAAGAGGGAAGGAAGGAAGAGCAGGTGGCAGAGGCCTTTGGATTAGATCACACTCCAGTTAAAGAGACAGAACCTCTGATTTCTAAGCTCTTTTTCAAATAAATTCCTCTTCCTGATTTTTGAACATGAGACAGCTATTATGAGAACCATCATTTAAATAAATGGCAGTTACCACACTTGGATGTTCCGTTGCTTTTGGAGTTGTAGAGAATTACAAACATCTTTATTGATGGGCTTCCATTTTGTATTTTCCTCAGCTTAGTCTCATTGTAAAGATAAACCCATAGAAGAATGAATAGAAGCTTAGTGGCTTAGATTTATTTTTTTAATGCAAAGTTGTAGGTCTTAAGGCTTCAGATGGAACAATATAGTCACTAAGCGTCCATTTGTACCCATCTGAAAGGTTTTGTGACAGTTGCAGGGGTTGTTTCCTCTGCCCTCCTTCAGTGGGATCTGTTTGAAGTGCCCCATTCAGCACTGCCTCCCTGAGCTGGGTGACACATGGCTGAGTTCCACATCCCTCAGCCCAGGCTCTGGAGAGCTCCAGTGCACAGACACCCCCAAGGAGGAGCTAAAAGTGACTCGGGGTTTCGAGTTTGATTGCAGATTTCCCTTTAAGTGTCTGTTTCTTCAGCTTCCAAATGTCCAGCTGGGGCTGAGCAGGCTGTCCACATCAGCTCTGGCTGTTAGCAGAGAGCAGTAAGGAATGGCAGCTGACAGGAAAGCCCAGTATTCCCATGGAACACACTTTCCAGCACCCCAGTGATCAGTGGCAGTCCTGCTCAGCACCGTACTGGGAGTGAAAACGAGTTGAAACCCAGACAGTGAGGCCTCCAGCTGGGTAAAATACTTCACTGCCACCGTTTGCTTCTGCTCGTTCCCCTCTGAGCTCTTTCTCCCCTCCTTGCAGGGACGTTGAACGTGTTGATCAGATCTGGTGAGCATTTGCAACAGCCTCTGTCTGTTGTCTGTCTGCCTGCTCTTGGTAACTCCTCCCACTAACTCCGTCTGTTCCCCCTCTTTGTTTTTCACTTGCCTAGCAATCACTGGACGTGAACTGGGGGGTGGGCTGGCACAACCTGTGGGTGTTCAGGTCCCTATTTTTCCACGGATGGCATCTAGGACTTGGCTTTGGGTAGCTCAGACTGGGATGTGGGTCACACTAACGCTCACCATCAGCACCTCGTGTGTGTGAGTAACGGGAATGCTGCACTTCTAACTGAGCAGAGCCTGGCCTTCCAGTTCAGCCACTTTGCCTTTATTTGCTGTTCTTTCCCTTTTGTTTTTGCCTTATTTTTGGGAGCAGTCCATGTGTTTTCAGACAGCTCTGATATTGCTGTGCAGTGTTGACAAAAAAAAGCCTCCTGCTTATTTTAGAAGGACCAAAATTTCTGGGGCAGTAACAGGTAATGCAAATCTGGTGGAGGGTTAGTGGATAAAATGGATCAGTGTCTGTGACTCAGTACGAAGAGGTGGTGTCAGCAGAGTGATTTTAAGTCTCCTTTTAAGGAGCAAGATTGGTTTTCCAGTGTGTTTTTTAATGTCTCTTTAATCTCAAGTGAAGGAGAGGGCCACCAGGATAGAGAGCGAGATGTTGAGAGCTTTGTGAAGCTCTAGCAGAGTCACAGAACACTGTTACCTATCCCAGAAGGATAAAACAACAACAAAACCCAACAACCTAAGCGTATCTTAGGAAGCTGGTGAGCTACAACAAATGGGTGTTTGTTTGAATCCCCTGGGTTCTTCTTTGACCTGCTCCCCCAGCGCTGAGCTCCTGCTGGATAACTGTTCCCCGAGCAGCAGAGATGGGGGCTGTCGGAGCTGCTGCTCTGCAGGTGTTTCTGTACAACACCTCATGGGGCTGGTTTCACTCCTACTTGTTTTTCTGATGGTAATTTCTAACGAGGTCCTTAAGAAGACTTCAGACCTGCTGCAGAAGGGCTGGTGCTAGTGCTGGCGTTGCCGAG